TTGCCTCATCGCCGGAAATAAACTCCTCCACAAGAGCACTCTGGTACTGATCAATAAAGCGAGCCACCCGTTCCTTCAACGCATCCATGTCATACACCTTGCAAGACTTGTCCATCCCCACGCTGCTGTAGCCAGAGATGTGCTTAACAATCAACGGGAAATGCAGGGCGGCGCACAACTCCCGCACATTATCACCGGCCTCCAAAACGGCATATGGGGCTGTTTTTACAGCGCAGTAGTGTGCCATTCGCTTCATTTCCGGTTTAGACAACTCATAGTATTTGGAGATAGCCCCGGTGAACGGAACTTTAAAGCTCTCAAGTGCCTGCACCACTTCCACACCGGCCTTATCCTCATCAATGGCCCCATCGCACTGGTTGTAAAAGACATCAAAGGCCCCAGACTTCACTAACTGACGTATTTGACGGTATGCAGTCGCCTTCTTCACAAATTCAAGAGTAAAAACAAATTCCTTCGAATCCTCCTCCGTAAAGTAATGCTGCGGTGTCTGTACAATTTCGCCCTCATATTCCTTCAGTTCACTATCCGATCCTTCGTAGGAACAGACCAGTACGCAGACACGAATGGGCAAAAGAGACATTATAAACCTTTATCTCTCTTTTTTCTTCTTCTTCTTCTTTTTTTGTTTTTGTTTTTTCCCCTTTTTCACCCGCCTCGCTCCGTCACGTGTCACTAACTGTATAAATGTCTCTATAAATAAATAAATAAATATATAAATATATATACTTATCTATTTTTCTATTTGTATGTACGTAACACTCTCTCTGTCTGTCTGTCTTTCCCTCTCTCTCTCTCTGTGTGTGTGTGTGGTAACAGAGAGAGAAGCGTGCACACCGTTCTTTACTAAGAAGAACTAAAGAAATGACATTAGGGAAAGAAAAAAAAAAAAGAGGTAACCCACAAAAAGCAACCAAAAACAACACACGCACACACACACAAAAGAAAAAAAAATTAAAAAAAGAGATGTTCGCATCATTCTTCTCTTTCCAGTCTTCACTACGAGCCTTTTACTTTTTGGTCGCATGCCGCAACGGCGGTGTCTGCAACTTCTGCAAGATGCATCCGCCCTGCCTCTGGCAAAGAAGCATCGCCTTGAAACGGCGGCACGTTGCGTGTAAACACAACGTTGCCTGAGCACATGGGCAAAACGACGTTGCGCAGCAGCCACGCTACCATCATGACAAATACAACAATCGGGATGACGTACTCGCGCAGCAGAAACACCACCGTCGCCTCGCCTGGAATGCGTGCAGGGTCCATTGCAGCCACAAAAAAACACAAATACTCAAAGTAATGGAAAAACTAACCTCTGTGCGTGTGCGCCTCTCTCTCTCTCTCTGTGTGTGTGTGTGTATGTGCCCCCACCCCACCCCCTAACCCACAAGCCGCCTGCGCACGCAAACAAACAAACAGACAAAAAGAGAGAAACATGCATTTATAAATACAAAAATAAATAAATTTATTTATTTAAATAAATTTAAATATATTTATGTATTTGTCTTGAGAGGGGAACAACATTTTTTATTTCTCTCTCACCCCTTCCCTTCCCTTCCCCTCACCAATAAAAAAGAAAAAAAAAACCCATGCATACCCAAAAAAAATAAAATAAAATAAAATAAAATAAAATAGTTATATATATAAATATATGATTCTGCCTGTTTATTGCCATATTTCCTTCTACATTCTTATCTTCGCCCTTTTTTTTTTTTTTTTCATGTTTCCTTTTTTTTTTTTTTTTCCTCCTTTTATTTTATTTTGTTTGTTTGTTCGTTTCACTCCTCGTCAAAGATGACGTGGAATTGAACGCTACTGTTTTTTACCGCCCTTGGCTTCAGATAAACCTCACGAATTTTTGGATTCTTCTCCAGCGCATCATGTGCACATTTAATCACCCACGCTCGCAGCGGCATGCCCTCCTCCTCCGGCGTGTCGTTCACCTTCCCCATTTGATTGAAAAGCAACTCATCCTCGGCGTACCCCTCCGCGGCAATCCGCTTAAGCGGAAAGTGAATCTCAATGTCAACAGCAGGCATTCCTGTGTGTGTGTGTGTGTGTGTGTCTGTAAGTATGTATGCAGCCGTGTCAAATTGAACCGTCAAGTCACTCCCCGCCAGTCTCTCCCTTTCTTCCTCTCTCTTTCAATCTATCTACCTTCTCCCTTAAAGTTGCAATAGTGCTCAACTGAAATGTATGCGTGATAAACCCTACAATAAATAAACTTGCAGATAACAATCTGCAGGAGGGAGGAAGGTTAGGGTTGACGTTAAAAGGGAGAACAGAGAAAGAAAAAGAAAAAAGAAAAGGCAATGACGTCAACAACAACTCAACAAAAGTCCACTTCAATACACACATATATACATACACACACACATGCCGTCAAGCAAAGAGACTGACCGCACTGCGCACATCCCGACGGAACGCAAGCGTCAGTAACCGGTAATAAAATATTAAAGAAAGGGGCTGGATAAATTTAACGTTTAAAAGTTTACGGAAACCGGTTTGTCGCACAAAAGAAAGTAATTCTTCAAAAATCAAAGGGTTCATTACAAATGAGAGTAAAATTTTTTTCCGATGCCTCCTTCTTGTACTACCACACCAAAGCCTCAAGGCCACTGCGGATCTTTGCAGCTTTACGATTGCCTTTACGCTGCGAAAGCGTCGCATACCGCAGGGTGGCATGCCCCGCTAGAAGTGCATTCTCCACATGCACCTCCGTAAGAGACAATGCCGTGGCTGTTTGCGACACGAGGTGGCGCCCAATCAACTCAGCTGAAGCCTGAGAAAAATGTCGCATTGCCGCAAGCGCATGTAACTTCCGCTGACTACTACTAGCGGCACACGTTGCCTGTATCACAAGCAACTCGGCGTACAAATGATGTGGGAACGTGTCGTCCGACCCATACACGGCCCTCGTCACGGCAAGCGCTCGCTCTGTCAATACCATAGCAGCATCGCGGCCAGCCTCTTGTGTATCCTCGTCTACTAGAAATGACTCACCGTCTTCCTCCATCACCCTGCAAGACCGGACAAGTGCCTCTACCAGCATCATCTTCGCCTGGCGCAAGGGAATCGGTAGATAAGGCACCTGCTTGGGTTTTCTTCGACCGACAGCTTGGTCATAAATTGAGATTGCTTCCTCCCAGTTGGATGTCATCTGCAACGCATAAATGGAGGTGTCTTCCAGCCATTCCACCTCCGCGGAAAGGCTGCCAAAGACATCCACCAGCTGCTTCCTTAGCTTCGTAAGTAAACGCTTTCCGTCTGGACACTCCATGGCAGAAATCAAGTGACAGCATCGAAATACAGTTTGTAGTTCTGTTTTTCGTGCCAGTGGTTGCTGTGGCCAGGGGTTTGCATCGTACATATCAAGTAACCTTGTGGCTAGCACCCACCGCTGCTCTCTTGTCTTCACGTGGTTACTTGAAAGAAGCTGCAAAGAAGCCACGGCGGCTTGACGCTCAAGACCTTTTCCATCCCTCACCAATTCCTCCACTAGCGATCCTACAATGGGTGAGGTGCGAACGACATGACGAAGAGACTGAAGAAAAATTAAAAGTGCCTCGGAGTGGAGAGAGCGCAGCGTGTATGTCTCCTTAAAGATGGTCCACAAAGCCTCACCGTGTGCCGCGTGACCAGCCGTATGGCACCCCGCAATGGCAAAAACATACGTCTCAGCGGTGGGCACAAGAAAACGAAAAGAAACATCACTATTGGAAGTATCAAGGTTGGCAATAAATGAAATTGCCTCAGACCAACGACCCGAGGCGGTAAGAGTTTTGACGACACTCTCCGCATATGCGCAGCCCTCTTCACCGGTAACAAGCAACCGGGGCGTGTCTTGCACAATTTGAGAAATCTTGAGGGCCTTTTCCCACACCCACCGTCGATGATAAGAACTAAGAGACGTGTGTACACGATGAAAATTATCCGCACTTCGCCACAACGCATCTAATGCGTGCGTATGCGTTGTTAGTGTGGTGTCATATCCCGACACCAGAGCCCTTTGATACAATTCCAACGCTCGCATCCAGGGACGTGAGCCACCAAGTCCACTCTTGTAGCCTGTCATAAGACCCATAAGACGATCTGTCATCTCCATTGGAGGTGGAATATCTTTTTGTAATTCCTCAGCAAAGTTAAACAAATGCAAAGCCGTTGACCATGTAATGTCAAGGTGCATCAGATCTGCCAGTGAGGAAGCTAAGACCATTATGCCACACTTCCGCATTTGGTATTCCACTCTTGCCACAATTTCATTGTCAGCGCCCTCTTGTGAAAACCCCAAAAGTTTGTTGTAAGATGAACCACGTTCTGCCCACCGCTCCGTCATTCGACATGTGTAATTCACAAAGGTCGAACGCTCTTCCTCAGAGAGACTCTGCCACCGATCGCCTTCATACCCAACAGCATCCATCAATGCCCTCTGAAACCCAGCTTGGCCCACTCGTTGCTCCACATGGTGTTGTAGCAGCGTGGCTGAAAGCATCTTAAACGTCGCCGCTGTAGGCCCCTCCCCATCCGCCTGCAGCAATACCTGAAAGGCTTTTAGTGCCTCCGCCTTCCCGGTGGAGTGTTCAATGGCGTGTCGCACCTGCCGCGTAAGCCGAGTCTCGGGGGCACCACGGGCCAGCGCCTGGCGGAGAGAGTAGTTGGCATGAATGATCCCATCGTCACGCTCCCCCATAATTGAGGGAAAAAATGTGGTCGCCGTCGTGCTGGTGGGGTGAATTGCATCCCCAGTCGCAGCATTCTCCCGCGCAGCGTCACGACTATGAGCCACGCTCCCGCCACCGTCTCCAGCCGCCGCCGCCGCCGCCGCCGCCGCTACTGTTTTAACAGCCGATGAGTTCACGCCCGCTGGCGATCGTTGCCAAAAACAAACCTGCGCCCGGCGACGAAGAGCTCGACTAAATTTCTCTACCGGGCGCCTGCCCATGGCGCATTACTTGTGGGAGTTAAGTCCATTTGGGCCAAAACAATTTTTTTTTTTTAATTAAAAAAAAGAATAAAAAAATAAAAAAAATAAAAAAACAAACGCACACAAACACACACCCACGCGGACGCAAAAAAAGAAAGAAAAAGTACGTAGAATCGGCATCATGGCAAGATCCGCCGCTCCTTCACGGGTTACTTACCCACACACTGAAGAACCCAGGGGAGCGCACGGGTCCCACACACACACACACGACCGCGCCATAAACACCAAAAAGAAAAACAAAAACAAAAAACACATTCACATGTTGCCATAATGAATAAGATATATTTATTTAATGGCATAGAGATGTGTGTACATCGCCTTCTCATTATTCCCATTGCAATTAATGGTGTTCCTTCACAACATTCCATTCGCAGAAGAGAAAAAAAACGAATAAATCGAATACGCCATTTCACTTGCATTTTATCGCATGCGTTTGTGCATGTGTGGTGCGTTCCTCCTCCCCCTCCCCTCTGCACTCACACTGGAATCAACATGCCGCTCTCATTGGTGTTTCCGGCCTTCCCGCTCCAAAGCACTCACAAACTTTGGTAAACCATGAGGATGTAAACTACTAATTTGGCAAACTGTATGCTTATCACCTCCTCATTTCAAACATAAACAAGCCTTCGCGGCTGTTAATATGCAGCTGCGGTCAATCAAGACAAAAAAAAAAAAAAGGCGTCTCTGCCTGTTTATATCCAAAACACCTGTAAAAGTCACGGCGTTCTTGTCACTAGTCCTCAACAAATAACAGACGGCTCCTGTTTGCAGACGTATTTGTTTTTTTTTTTTTGTTTTGTTTTTTCTTTTCCCCTCCTCCGCCCACTACCAGAAGCAGTAAACACGACGGTGATCCAAAGAAACAAAAAGAAATAATAATAATAATAAATGCAGGGAGCCGTCGTAAAGCAGTGCAGCAATTCAATGCCACTCCTCAACCTTAGGAGCATTCTACAATCCTCATGTATTCACTTCATTATTTGTTGTTGTTGTTTTTTTTCCTGTAAATCCTCACACGGTATTTTCTTCCCTCTGTAAGTGGATTTATTTATTTATTTTTAAATGTTCCACTCTCTCCTTTCCTCCACCCCCTCCCCTTTTTTTTTCTCTCTCCGTTGTACTCGTTGCAATCCCGTACACGTCGATCACCGCCGCCCTATTCTACTCCTCCGAGGAACTATAAAAGGACTCTTCTTCATCGTCCGAGTCACTGTCGTCGGAACGACGGCGTTTCTTTGCTTTCTTCGACTGTTTCGGGGCCGATTTGCGAGTGCTGGTTTTATTTGCCACGGCCGCCGGCTTGCGTGCCGTTTTTTTCGCCGCCGCCTTCGTCGTTTTTGTTGCCAAAGCGGTGCTGCCTGCGTTTTTATTCTTCAAGCACATCTCCACGTGTTGTCGGTGCCGCGCGGTGATTGTTCGATTGCAAATTGGGCATGTTTCATTCACAATGCAAGCCCCAACAAGACTATGGAAATCGTCCGATGTGCCCTCGTCTGTAATTCGTCGTCGTGCCGCCCTTTCTTCACGCTCACGGGCCTTTTCTCTTTCTGTCCGCTCGCGCCACTCCTCAAGCCTCACCTGATCAATAAGGTACTGGTTTACCGGATAGTATGGGAACCCAAAAGTCTTGTGGCATCCACTGCACTCCATGACAGTATCGTACATGGTAGCGTCATAGTGGAAGCTGTGTTGGCAGTGTGGGCAGGCATGCAACGCCGTGGCACAGCCAAATCGGCAAAGACACGTCTCGCAGTGCACTTTTTTGCCGCACGGCCCCATGAAAAGTGTGTAGTGTTGCTTAGAGTCGGGCATCCAGGGTGTTCGGCACTGTGGGCAGCTAACTGTCGTGTCGCGGTAAATGCCGCCAGAGCGTTTGGTGCCTATAAGCGTGCGGTTCGTAGACACGATGGGTTCTGCGTCCCCAAAATCGAAATCCATATCTTCTTCATCGTGATCGGCGCTCTCATCCTCCTCCTCCTCGTCCTCCAGTTCCTCCTCGTCGTCGTAGTCAATGAAGTCGTCGTCTTGCACTTTAGAAGCGCGTTTTTGTTTCTTCTTCTGTTTTTTTGTCGCGGCTCGCTTCGGCTTCACGTCGGAGGCGACAGTCGAGGGCAGCACCGCCGCCGTGCCTTTCGAGGCAGTTATTTGCTTCACGCGCTGTGTTCCTTCCAGCTGCAGTTGTGGCTGCTCCTTCTTGACGGACTTTTTTTTCCTCTCCTCCCTCGCCTGGAGGGCGAGGAGCTTCTTGCGGTACTTCGGGTCCGCCACCAGCTCGAAGGCGCGCACCAACTTCTGGAACGCCTCCGTCGACCTCTCGAAGCGGCCCTTCAGTTTGTCGGGGTGCACCATCCCGGCGAGGCGCATGTAATTTCGTCGTGCCTCCGCAACGGGCGTCTCGGCAGTGACGGGCGGCAGCCCGGGCGCGAGAGACAACACCTGCAGCACCGCCCCGTCATCGCACTCAAGTATGGACTGCGCCAGCACCGCCGTGTCCATCACTCACGTCGTCGTCGCTGCTCCCTCTCGTGCTTCACTGGAGGTGGGGGTGGGAAGCCCTGTGAATGTCCCTCTCGCGTGCCGGCACAATCGCCTTCGCAAAAAAGTCCACTTCCTTCCAACGGCATTGGCAACAGCAGGAAGTGGTGTAACGCAAAAAAAGAAAATAAATAAATAAATAACCGGAAAAGAGAAAAAAATAATAATAATAAATAAAAGAAACAGCAACAATCACCCACGCCCTCCCACGACCCCCTGAAGCAGCGTAAGCTCAATCTTCATGGTCATGAATGACCGCAATTCGGAGAGTCTGCAGAACAAACCGGTAAACATGCATGGATGATGCGCACATAAGCCTTTTGTAACAAATAAATTTCTGTAATTTACTTACTTTCTTGTCATTGCATATTTTTCGACATTGTTGTTTCCCTTCTTGTTGTCCCGGCCAATCCCAAACCACAAATGCGTGTTCGATCCAAAACGGCCATTACGTTTATTCACCATTGGCACTTCCTCCTCCCCTGAAGGGTCCCAATGACGATCGGATGGCACAACGTATACCCACTCGTTGCCCTCCAACTGCTCTGTGATGAGAAGCTCCTGCTTACGTTTCTTAACAATCTCCGTGATGAGTGATGCCTTATTAACAATAAACGGGTGGTTTCGTACGTCTTCTGGCGTCGCTCGTTCATTCGTGCTGGTCTTGAGCAGCCACTCCACAAGTGACTTGGCACTATCGGATATATTAGTCCAGCAGGGTCCCACACAGCGAATACCCCCTCGCACTTCTCTGTAGAGATCTAAAAAACGTCTGCCCCGCAAAGGCCGCACACCCGAGAGAAGCATGTACGCTACAACACCTAAACTAAACATATCCGCACGGTGCATGGTGGCGCCTGAAGCCTCAAAAAGTTGTAAATGATCCACCACTGCCAGAATATTCTCCGGTGACGCAAACCCATACGTACCACATGGCACAAACAACTGACACTTCTCGTTTTTAATGTACTCTGCAAGACCAAAATCAATGATCATCACCTTACTAAAATCACAGGAAAAAATAATATTATCGTGTTTAATGTCCCGGTGAACAATGTGCTTGACGCGGTAAAGGTAATCCAGACCCTCTGCTATTTGCGCCACAACACTGGCGGTAAAAACCTCTAAATCGCACTGACGAGTCCTCACAAACTCCCATACTTGCTTCAGTGCACCCCCATCACCAGCCTCCATGACAATAACGAGACACAGCGGGGTCTGAAACACCTCTAAAAGGCGTGCCACATTCGGGTGGTCAATCTCCTTCAAAATCTCAAGCTCGGTCGTAATTTTTCGCCAGGCCGTGATTGTTACGGTTGAACTTTTCGTAATAACTTTGAGTGCAACGCGTGGATTTTCAAACCGACTGCGATCCTCACACTTGTACACGGTACCGGTGACCCCTTTTCCAATGCGTGCGCCCTCAAAAAAGGAGGGAAATCTCTCATGTATGCATTCATAATATTCGTAGCCGCTAACGTGAAATTCCGAAAGAGCCGTGTGGCACGACTGCAGGAACGCATTGAGGGAAGTGCTGTCAAGAAAAGAAAAGATAAATTCCGCTATGGCCCCGTCCCGCCGACCCGACAGGGGATCGTAAATGCTACGGAAAATAAACGGCAAACGACATGCGTTGCAGCGACGCAACAATTCCCCACGGTAGAGTGCAGTGAGTGGGGCGCAATCGCTGCAAAAAATTCTACCACACCAGCGGCAGTGATGTTTGCTAAAAAGCATTGAGAACTTCTTGCGGCACAACCTATTCTCGCATGCGTCGGTTGAGTTGTCGTCACGCCACGTTGCGCCAGGGATGACTAATTCACGCATATGGCGCATAATCGCCGTGCAATGAAGCCTCCTCACCGAGCCTTTCCATACACACACAGACAGACACACATACAAAAAAAAGAAGTAAAGAGAGAAAGAGGGCAGAAATAAAAATAAAAAAAAATTGTCTGAAATGTCTTGTAATTCGTACGTGTTTGAAACGTTCAAAGAAATTGCCATCACCACAAATTCTCAAAGAAGCACAAACAGACACATGTATATAAATATATAGATATTTATATGTATACACACACAAAAAAAAAAAAGGAAAAAAAAAAAAAAAACGCTGCGAGCAAAGAAACACTCCAAAAAGAACACTCGTTGGCGTGTGGCTACAAAAACAGCTGCTGCAGTGACTTTTTGCCGCGGAATTCCCCTCCCTCTGCACATACATATATATATCTTGTCCTCTGTGTGTCAGTGTGCCTTTGTGTGTGGTGTTGCACATACCCAACAGTTGCGATATATATATAAAATAAAATAAAAGAAAAAAAAAAGGGGTCATAATTAACCAATCGGAGACTCACAAGTCTTTTTCCGTTCTCTCCATCCGTCGCCTCACAATTCCACGAGGGAAGTTTTTTGCAATCTCCACACAAACCTTCTCAACGGCGGTGTGAATATCATCCACTTGTGGAAACATTTGTTGCAGACGGCTTGTGTCCAACAAGTTATTGCTGCGTTTTGAAAGAAGAATTTCGTTTTGCTCCTCAACAGAAAAGTTCTCGTAGGTGTACTCGGAATCCACATGCCTCTTGTAGAGTTCCAGCACTTCATTATGCGAAATGGCTCCCGGGTTTGTCAAGTTGATGGTCCCCGTGACTTTATTCAAAGACAACTGCATAAGAATCGGCAACATCACTGGCAGCACCGTCATACTGTTCGGGATGTTCACCACCTTCTCGTAGTTAGCAATTTTGGTGATGAAGTTCATCGGATTGTCATCAGCAGAGATAGGCATGCGAATACGTGCATTAAGCGCGGTAGAATTAAAAAGTAAATGCATGAGACGGTCTGTGTACCCCTTTACGGTACTGTATGAAGAACCAAAGAAATTTGGGACGGCAGCCTCATCAAAACCGTCCTCCCCACCCACCGTGTGCGCCGACTCGTCGTAATGGAAAATACACCCCGTTCCAAGATACGTGAAATGTACACCGTGATTTGCACATACCTGTGCGAGCACAACGGGGGCCCACAAATTGTCACGCATGTTCTCCATGAGTTTTCCTGGCTTCTCCAAATAGTCTATTGTGAGACACGACCCACCGCGTGTGCGTCCAATAAGACTGACGACACGATCCGGTTGGATTCTTTGCATCTCTTGCTCCACTGCCGCCACATCATCGGCGCGTGACGCCGCGCCAAAAGCCTCAAAACCAGAGGCCTCCAGAAGCTGCATAAATGCCTGACCAATCCATCCCTTGTGGCCCCAGACAAGAAACCGAACCTTCGCCTTCCCTCCTCCTTCCTCCATTTGTAATTGACCTTTCCGCCCTGCTTCAGGAAATGAGGAAAAAAAAAAAAAAAGGCAATGACAGGGTGCATGAAAGACCTCACGGTGGCCGCAGACAATGAAACAAACAAAAGTTCCCCTTCCTTCTGTATTTTCATCCCTCCTGTAGTTAATGTCGTCTTATTGCTGTTGCTTCTGCTCATTGCTGCTTCTTATCCCGCAGCCCTCCCCCGCACCTCTCCCTCTCCCTCTGTCTTGTTGTATTTGATCGGTGTGTTGCTCCGTAACCCCTCAGCACGCATGCAGAAGAAGAGCAAATTCGGAAACGGGGTAAAAAAAAAAAAAAAAAAAAAGATACGAGACATCGCACAGTAGTACGTCCGGCATCCGCATCTTCTGCTTCTTCAAGGCCTCCTTGCATGTATGGAGACATTTCCGTGCATGTTTGCATCCATAAAAATATATGCATTTATTTAGCAACAAGTCCTTTTTTTTTTTTTGGTAAATGTTATTATTTGCTGCAACTCTGTGAATACCAACAAGATAAAGGTTACAGAAGGCCCCTGTCACTCCAGAGGTAGAGAAACGGTAAGGGTGAGTGAGGATACATGCACCGCGAAGTCTCAAACAATATACCCAGAACGGCCGACAATGGTGGTGACGGTGGCTCACAGTTTGCCAATGGCGCGGTACCACAGCCGCTTGATACCCTGCGGCTCCTCCTCCTCCTCTGACATGATAAGTGTGGGATCATCTGCTAAAGCCCTCCGCACCTCCGGATCGTGTCGCGCAGCGCATCGCTTCAATTGCGTCATTGTCTCCTGACAGCGCGATGCCTCAAACATGTTGACCATCATGCATTGGTGCAACTTCTCCGCCTCCTTTGCGCACTCCTTCACTAAATTAAACCGGTTGTAATCGTACACTTCGTTCTGTCTTTCTCTCCACGCTTTGATGCAAGCGTAGTAGCCGGCACGCTGCTTCTCACAAGCCCCCTTGGGACGATCCGGGCCGTAGTCAAACTCCTTTAGACACGACCGCCACAATGTGGACTCAACAGCGCAGGGCGCAGGGTCCGGTACGTGCATCGGCATCTGTGCCGCGTGCTGCTGATCGGTCAAACGTGTAAGCACGTCTGTTCCTTTTTTTTAATCGTCGTCCCTGTAACGCCGTCCTCCTCCGGCCAAAAAACACTGCGGAGCCCCACCCCCCCAAAAAAAGAAAAAAAAGAACAAAAGAAAGACAAACAAAAAGAAAAAAGAGAAGGCTTACGCAACAAAAGCAAGAAGACATGTATAACATTAGAGGGTAAGAAAAAGGAGAGAAAAACAGCAACTCAACCATCGTTCTTCACACGTAGAAGCCTCAAGTTTACAATTACAAAAGTACATAAGCGCTACCATTACAAAGAAGAAAGAAAAAAGGAAAAAAAAAAAAAAAAAAAACATGTACAGACAAGCACAAACAATGAAACGAAAATATATAAATATTAATAACGATGCATATATATATATATATATATATATATAACTATAACTATTCAAGCAAACTCAGATGCATTTTAAATGAGACGATAATTTGACACAGAGGCATTTCCTTTTTTTTTCCCTGGTAGGTGGGCCATTTACTCTTGAGCGTTCTCCAACAAGGGAAAATCAGAGGGGTAATTAATTATTTCAAATAAATTGCTCAATGCATATACCCAATATTCACGATCATCCTCAGAATATGCACGAAGAAGCAGTTTGTATTCCTTTTCCTTTTCCACGTATATAACGCATATTTCACGTTCTGGTTGTGTCGCTTCCTTGTGTGTACGCACCGATGGCCGTGTAACAATGCGGGTGTCATTTGTATTCAAGAGCAACAATGCTACAGGCTTACGGCATGACTCGTCTTTAAAGTAACTTAGGCTAACCCCTTTATTGAATGGCGCAAGCACAAAGTACCGGCGACGCCAATTAGACCTGCCAATTAAACTCCGTCCAATAGAGAACTTCTCCAACCATCCCTTACAACCATCCTTGATCGTACCGGCGAGAACAGAGGCGGCAACGATCAAAATCTCCCCCTCTTTTTTCCTGCTAAGTTTGCTGCAACTCCCATTTGGCTCCAACAGGGGATTGTCAACTTCTACACTGGGAAGTTTAGGCATTGTCAATTCCCTGGCAGCATCCAATAAAACAAACGGTGAAAACGAGGTTGTGCCATTTTTTTTGGTTTCTTCTCTTGTCTCCTTTTTATTATTTACCAAAGAGCATTGCTGTGGCGGTACCCCTCCGTTGTTATTTCTCTCAGTGACTTCCGTGACATCCCAAAGAGATGAGGCCACCGATGGAGGCTGTGTGTTCTGAACCTGCACAGGCGTGGATCTGGTAGAACACGCGTCATCATGGGTGAATAGATGGGATAATGATGCCGTTTCTTTTATGACCTGTTCAATAGCCGCACTGTCATTTTCAGAAAGTTGTATACCATGCTGGAAATAACCCACAACGCTGCTGCCGTCCGGCATCGTGAGAACCCCCTTCCCATGTGGCTGGTTCTCCATGAAGAAGCCGCAGTACGTCTTCCCGCCCTGCGAGTGGTACGTGATGGAGCCGGTGCCATGCAACTTCCCCATGACAAAATCTCCAATATAGTGATCGCCGTTGGCAAAAATCATTTCACCTGCGCCGTGGGGCTTTTCATGCTTCCAATCTCCGTTGTACATACGTTTACTGCCCTCAAACGTCAACTTCCCACGCACCTTTTTGCCGTTTTCCCAAGTTCCCTCGTAAATGCGCTTTCCTCCGGCGTACCACCCCTTCCCCATCCCCGTCATGGCACCATCCTTGAATTCACCCTCATAGTACTCACCGTTCTTTTGGGTCAGCCGCCCAATACCGTGACGGACGCCATGTCTGTACTCCCCCTTGTACACACGACCATCCGCAAAGTTGTAAGAGCCCATTTCACCATGCGGTCTCCCCCTTAAAAAAGGACCATTATAGGTGTCTCCGTTGCACCATTGAATGCTGCCAATTCCCTGACGTTCATCCATGTTCCATTCCCCATCGTATATCCTAACTCCTGTTGGATGTTTCTCCACCTTGGAGCAAAAGGTGCCGTGCCCATGACGCATATTCCAATAGAAATTCCCCGTGTATACATCCAACTCCGTCGTCAAAACACCATATCCATGCATGGTGTCATCAGAGACCCCCCCTGTGTAGATGTGGTTGCCGGGAAGTTGGGCGTTTGTTACGTACCCGTCCGCTGAGGTCAGTCGCCCTTCAAAACTTTCCTGCGAACCGCTGCCCATAAGTAACCACACAAACCGCCACCTTTCTTTCAGTCTGCACCTCCTTTTTCCTACTTCTTTTCACCAAAACAGAAAACACGCAAACAAAAAAAATAAATAAATAAATAAATAAATAAATTATTAAATAATAATAATAACTGCTCTTCCTTTGGAAACAAATATTCGTCCCCCGAACCCTCTCTTCGTGGGGTCCCTTCTTGTGCATCATTCCAATTTCGGTTCATGTAGATAAAACACACACATTTTTTTTTGGTTTTTTTTAATTAGAAGGGAGGGGATTATATGTATGCCATTCGCGGAATAAACACACACACAAACACACGGAGGCATAATAAAATACACAACAACAACAACAGCAACAACAGCAATAAAAGTACATCATACGCATACAATAACCCTCCTTTTCTCTTTTCTTCTTTTGTTATTTGTTGTTGTTGTTTTTGTTGTTTTTCTGCTGATTGTTATTATTTTTTATTTGTTTGTTTTTGTTTTGTTTTTCATTGTGTCTTCGCTTTGCAAGCATCCATTTCTTCCCCTCCTTCCGTATAATATACACACACATACATACATACATACATGCATATATGTATATTATAAACATTTTCGGGGGAAAAGGAAAAAGAGAGCAATCCACAACAATTGCATTGTTTGCTTGAAATGTGTTATTGACTTCCATCTGCCGAGAGGCTACAGACAACCGTAAATGCACTACCAGAATTTCAAAAACAGTAGGCAAGTCCTCTGCATGTAAGTATATATAATGTGCAGCCAACATCTGTCGTGTAAATGCATCATATACGTATAAATATATATATATACTGAAAAGGAAAAAAAAAATAATAATAATAAGACCCTCGAGAAGGCGTAATTCATTGCTAACATCCCCCATCACCGCCACCATCACCGTCGCATTGAATCACAATGACCCATCAAACAACATCGAGCCCTCTCCATTATATTTACCGCAAATCTGAAAGTTCATCGACATGACTTCCCTGCGGCTGACGCTTCTTCACTCTTTTTTTCTTCTTGGCACCCGATGATGATAACGCGTTTTTGTCAAAAGACGAGGCGTATGGTTGTCGCGGGGCCGAGCACGCCCGCACTCTTCCCGTTACCGTGTCAAAATGCATTGCTTTAAGCCTAAGGACAGCAACCCCCTCCATGTCTGGTGAAAAGGGATAATGAATGCCCAGTCTATCTGCCATTGCCATGTACTCAACAAGTTTGTTCTTCGTCGGCACAAGCTCCTTTGCAAGTGCTTGGAGTTCCGCCTTCAGTCGCTGCACCGTCGCGTCAGGATTCCCCGTTGTCGCATTCATAGAATCGGAAAGTAAAGACACCTCCGATTGAAGTTGCCTATTTTCCTCCGCAAGACGGTGCAACTCGGTTCCTCCATCTGTGTTGGGCAAGCGGTTCCGCAACTGAGCCTCCAATAACTGAATCTGCCCCCGCAGCTCGGCGGTCTTCGAGTCAGCACCTTTTCTTGCCAGCTCAAGATCATCATGAGCCCCTAATAATTCCTGCGTGAGAGTTGCAATATTCTCCTTAAGTCGCACATTTTCATCACGGAGAGTCGATAACTCCTGTTCAAGTTTCTCTAATGACTCACGTTGCTGCTCGAGTTGCTGCTGTTGCTGCTGCCGCACCCCTTCATCCGCGGCAGCCACCGCCAGCACATCCGTCTCCTGCAGGTCATCGATATTGGCCATTGTTGAGAGGGACTTCTTGACTGCCTTCTTCTTTTTTTGTTTCTTTGGGTGCGCAGAAGACAAACTGCGTGTCTCGTCACTCTCCTGTGACATTCTATGGAGATCACTCTCTAATTGCTGAATTCGCTCACGTAGCGCCTCGGCCTCAGCGTCTGCCTTGTCAAGCGCCCTATCAAATGTCTCCGCCGCCTCCGCGCTAACCTTTCTCTGCTCTTCCAATTGACGCTGGGCCTGAATAAGTGACATCTGCAGCTGCTCCGCCCGCGCGTACTGGACGGCAGCATCCGAGGACATCCCAGTTTCCATGTTAACATGGCCACCATGATCACCGACGCCTTTACCTCTCATCGCAGTATTATTACTATTACTATTATTACTATTATTATCGGTATTGTTGTTACTACCACTATTCTCCACACCTCCACCACCATTGCCATCCCAACTACCATTTTTTGTGGTCCTTCGCAGCTTCCCGAGTTCCATCTCCAAAGTAGCCTTCTCCGCGTTTACACGTTGAATTTCGCCACGGAGCTTTTCAAGCTCAGACTCCATTTCCTCTTGTTGACGCGGTCCTTGTGCCGCCCCAGATTTCAATTCGGACTCCAGCTGCGCATTTTGACGTTGGTATTCTAACAGTGCACTCTTCACTTTCGTCAGCTCCTCATTTTGTGTCTCCATCTCCTGGTTCGTGGCGGTAACCGTTTGAAGAAGTTTCTCTTCCTGCCGACATTTATCTTCAAAGGCCCGACGGTGTTTCTGCGCCGCCTCTTCCATTTCCTTCTGGCGCGATAGCAATTGTTCCTCCCGTTGTTGAAATTCATTGATCTGCATTTGAAGTCCCTCCAACGCCTCATTGGCCTCCGTAACTTTCTTTGTTTCCGCCGAAAGTCGGTCTGCCGCGGCAGTGAGATCTCTTTTATGGCTTTCTTGCAGAGACTCAATCTGCCGCACGTGCTCCTCGTTCTCTGTCTCCAAGTCGTTGATCGTTTGACGGTAGATGAGGATTTCAGACTTTAGCCGGTCAAGATCAAATGTCTTTTGCCGTAGTTCCTCGCTAACATGTCCCTTCTCCGCCAGGGCCGCCTTGTGAATGGCCTCCGGTACAAAGTTCTCTTGTGTCGATTGCATCGTCGCCAAGGTTGCATTTGCCGACTCGAGTTTACGCCGCAATTGTGCAATCTCTTCCTTGTGTGTTGCCTCAGCCGCCACCTGAGCCCGTGTGCGCTCCTGCTCCAACTTCACCGCCATCTCCTTGATGCCATCCTGCATGTTGTTCATCTGTGCTTCCAGCGTCTCATTTACGTCCCGCAGACGTGTATTCTCACTGGTGAGTTGATTCGTTTTGTCCCGCATTTTGGCGTCGTTTGCCTGAAGCGCTTCCATTTGCTCCTCGTGCGACTTAATTGTGTTCTGCTGTCGTGTCAAAACTGCATGTAGACTCTCGTTTTCATTTTTTATGCGTCCCAACTCTTTCCGTGCCTCCTCGAGCTGTTTCTTGATGGGCTCCAGAGTGTTTTCCAACTTAGACGTCTTGGATTGCAGTTCGGCGTATTGACTCATGTTTATAGTTTGACTCTTTGCTAACTCCATATAGGCAATAGTCTCCTTTGCCTTGACAAGGTTATTCTCTAGCACCTCCACATTTGAGAGACGATCCTGCAGAGCATCGTTCTCCTTCTTCAGATCCGTGACTTGTTGTTGGAGCCGTACAATTTCCTCCCCTTCACGAAGCAACTTTTTAAGCTTCAACTGCGCATTCTCATACTCCTCATTAAGCGCATCCTTTGCGGCGATGCTGTTGTTTAGATCCCCTGTCAACGTCACGCAGCGCTTCAAAAGAAAATTGATGCGCTGCTTGTCTTCTTGTGACGCGCGGGTAAGTCGAACGAGTTCCTCCTCCTTCGTGACTGCAACCGCTCGAAGTTGCTTCGCCTCCTCAATAAGTTGATCCCGTTGAAATTCAACCCGCGCGATGCGCTCCCGGTTACGCTCCAGCGCTTCAAGGATCTCGCTGTCCTTCAGCGTCCCTCTGCCCTCATCGCTGCTCTTGACGGCATCGCTGGTGGTCTTTTCGCGCTCCCGCTCGATGAGTTTCTCCAGTTCCTTCACCCGCGCAGAGGTGAACTCAAGCTCCTGCAGGAGATGTTTGTTTTGCGACTCCGCCGCCACCAGCGTGTCGCGTGCAACGCTGTGGTTCAATTTCTGTTCAAGCTCCGACTTCTCCCGCTGCAGCTCGCTCACCTCCTGCTCGTTCACCTGCTTCAGCTCCGACAGCCGCATCCCCAGCTGCTGCATCTCCCGCGTAACCGTCTGCAAGCGCTCATTCGCCACGTCACACTCCCGCTGCAACTCACCGCAGCGATCACACGGAGCCTCAGACGGCTGCGCCCGCATTTCCGCGTTGGACGCGTGTAAACGGCTCTCTGTCTCACTTAATCGCTGCGATAAAGCGGCATTCTCGCCCACTTTCAGTCGATGCAGCTGCTCTTCCGTCGCCAGCGCCTTGCGCAGCTGCGTCACCTCCGTCTTTAGCCGCGAGATCTCGTCGGTCATGTACTGCCGCTCCACCTCGTTACTATGGTTGCCCTCCAGACGCAGGGCCTGAAGGTCCCGCTGCAGCCGCGCGTTCTCCACCATTTTCACCTGCAACTCCTCTCGTGCTCTGCTAAGCTCCTGGCGAAACTCGTTTTCTCGCTCCGAGCGGCGCTCCAACTCATGCCGCAGGTCGACGAGCGACACCCTCTCCGCCGCCGTCTCAAGAGGAAAAATGCGGACCGCCACGCTCAACGGCCCGCGGCTAATCACCTCCTGTTGCTCATGCAGAATGATCGAAAGCTGCTGCGCATTCATGTGGGCACTCTGCAGTTCGCCAATGAGTGCCTGTACCTCGTCATTGGAGGAGGCATGGCTCGCCTGGTACTCGAGAAACTCATTTTGAAGCTCCTCCATCATCTTTTCCAAGTTTTCACGCGCTGCCGTCTTCGAGCCACCAAACCAGCCAACCTTCTCAGGCTCAAAGAGAGAACGCAACACCGAAGTCGCCGAAATTGGACTCGTTGAGAGCGCCACACACTTCGCCTCTTGCTTGACTACATGCTTTGCCAGGTTTGCGTTATCGTCACACACTTTCGTAAGGGCAGTGGCGAGAGAAGCATTTTCATTCTCCAGCTGCCGTAGACGTTTCACCAATGCATTGCCCTCCTCCAGTGAATTCACAACTTGCGTGACGTCAGGAGTAGATGAAGCAGATGCAGCAGTACCATCCATGGGGGGATTCACATTTGACGCACATGGCATCTCCACAGGCTGGTCGTGTAAACTGGAGGTCCCAGTACTAGCGCTAATGTTACCGCTATCACCCATATCTACAGAACGTCTCACTCGTGTGAGACGTACAACTTTTTTAGAGGTCGAATTCACCGGACTTGGCCGCTGCATATGCAACTACGACGCTTCTACGCTTGTAGCCAGTGGCACACGCGGTGAAAACCACCTCCGGCCGTTACTCCGCAATTTTTTTTGTCAATCGCTCCTTTTGATACAAGTTGCTATTTTTTGTGCGCTCGTCCACTCACTTTCTTCTCCTACGACAGTATTGACAAGTGCGGAAAAAAATTTCAGAGCCCCAGTGAAAAAAAAAAAAAAAAAAAAAAAAGGAAAAAACACAAATAACCTCTTTAAAAAAAAAAAAAAAAAAAAAGGGAAAAAGAGAGGGCAAAAGGCTGTTGATATTAAATGGGAGCATTGCATCCAAAGCAGTCACCCCACCAACCAACAGGCAGAGAGAGAGAAAGAGAGAAAAAAAAGAAGTAAGATGTATGCAAATGTATGTATATATACTGATAATCTCCCATCAATGCATCTAAGTAATAATAATAATAATATATTTCCCGTTCGCTCCTTATTAAATTCCCTTCAGATACTTTATTATTATCAATGTTTTTTTGTTTTTGTTTGTTTCTTCTTCTTCTTCATTCGACTATTGGTTGATTGTTATTTTTTTAAAAAGCTCCTCCCTGTAAACCAATATTATATATATATGTATATATACGTGTGAAAGAGAAGAAGAAAAAAAAAAAAGAGCCTTACATCCGGCTGGCAATTACTTCTTTAGTTCTTCTTTCCACGCTCCTCACGCTCCTTCGCATCCAGCACGGCAAGATGATACATGCCATCCATCAACTGTTGCACATTCACCACCTGCTTCAGTACATTAAGGGAACCCAACACGGTCAACAGAGGAAATGTGACACGCCGCACCCAATCCACCTCGCTGTACATCCAGTACGCATAGAGGAGAATGTACGAGAACTCCTGTCCAACACACAAAAGAAACATCACCTTGCGGTTCGAGTAATACAGGCGTAGCAAAGAAAATATACTTTCAGAAGTGTCTTTATGAGACTCTTTACGAAAAAAAAGTGTGACGTACATGCGGCAGAAGTGAGAGGCTACATCCAAAAAAACAAGAAGGGCAAATAACGTTGTACACCAATCGGGCATTGGCTGCAAAACGTGATTCAACACCAAAAGAAGACCCGCGGTGGATGCACGATCCGTCAGCATGTCAAAAATGGCACCAAAGTGTGAGCACTGATCCATCAGACGCGCAACCATCCCGTCAGCCGCATCCAGCACAAAAGACAACGTATAAAACGTAAGAAACAGCCCAGGGTAGTTGCCCAAAACGACAAACGAACCAAGGGAAAGTAGGAGACGTACGTAACCGATGATATTCGGGTAGAACAAGTAGATTTGCGTGGGGCTAACGCTACTGAAATTCGCTTTGGGTCCCATTGGCAGAAGTCCTATACAGTTCAATGGACGTCAATGTAACCACGCAAATGTCCGCGCGTGTGTAAAAACAAATAATAAAAAAAAAACTAAATTGAGACAAATGTACCCTCGCTAATGCCACACGTACATCTGAAGGCAAGACGGTAAGCCAGAAATAAATAGAAAAAAAATAAAATAAAATAAAGCCTGCAACCATCACCACCGCAGCGCAGATGCCTGACACGTGCCGCAAGACAAATTTTTTAGGAGAGGCACAGTGGAAGAATAATTACAAAAAAAAAAAACATAATAATCATCACTCAATTCATCTTCGTGGGCCCTCCTCGCGGCGAATTTCCTCCCGCATCTGGTCAACACTAAACGGACAGGCACGATATTTAAGTACGGGATAGCGAAAGTAGACATTCTCCCGTGCCACATGTCTTTTCGCCAGGCAGTTATCACACAATTCGGCGCTGGCATCCGTGAAGCGGTCAACCGTCAGGTGTAGGCCGCAGAGGATGCACAGACGCTTGCAGTCCACACAGACGAGGGACTGAGACGGTGCGGTTGTATTGTTGAAGTGCGCCGCGGGCAACAGACGACGACAGGCCCCGCACTTCAGACGTAAGTTCTTCTTGGAGACGAGAAGTGCGCCACGCCGCGAGATGCGCAGCGTTAGGCCCCGCCACATCTCCCACCCCCTTTTTTTTTGTTTTGTTGTTGTTTTTCCTTCTGCGTCTTCTTAGGCAGGGTCACAGCCCGGCAACAGGTGCCACGGACCCCCCAAAAAAAAGAAAAAAGAAAGAAAAAAAAAGAAAGAAAGAAAGAAAGAAAGGGTCAAAGTACGAGAATCGACGCGGCAGCACAAAACACAAAATTAAACTTCAAAAACACATGCGGCACCAACACGGCCGCACCACCACCACCACCACCACCATCGTATATATAGATACAGATATATATATTCTTTATGTTTTCTTTTCTTTTTCTCATTTCCCCCGTCCTACTCCTCCAAAACAACAAGAACAACAAGGAGAAGAAAAAGAAAAAAAACAACATTCAGAGAACTCTCATGCTGAATTGCAGGAGAATCACTTTTTCCCCAAGTTTCTTCTGCACCCGCCTTTGCATCTCCGCCGAGAAGGCCTCAGTGTCACCAACGACATCGGTCCATGACATGTCCTTCCCGTTCAGCTCCCCACTCTTCAGCAGCTCATCTGCAAAAACAGGGTGCAGAATCGACCCCGAGCGCGATAAAATGGCCTGCCGGTAGCGTTCCTCAAACAATTCCCGCGTTACAGTGTCCACTGTACGCTCGTATTGCGGGAGAGTTCCCTTTTGGTACTCGTTGCGCATTATAATGGGACGAAGACGTGAACGACACAATAACCGAGCTGTTGCGGGTTCACCCACACGGTTTGCTACTTCAGAAGTCGTCAAAGAACCCCGATTGCGCTTCAAAGCAAAATGATACGGATCAAATTCTGCGTCCAAATCCACCACTACAATGGAATCCGTGACATGTAAATAAAGACGCACGCTATGAATCAGCCAGTTGACACGAATTCTTTTTTTCAAAATTGCCGACTCCCCCAATTCATGTTGCTTCCCCTCCCTCGTGTCATTGTCATTCGCGTCGCCACCTCTCAATGCAATCACGTGGCGTTTGCCAGTCCACCGGTTCTGAAGCACCGCATAGTCAGAGGGAAATTTCTGGAAGCGCGACTTGGGGAGCGGGTCCGGATCTGTCGTCAGCTCGTAGGTGCGTGTTGTCAAGTAATACGCAACGCTCGAGACCACCGTGACGCCAAGCAGACCGTACATGCTGAGCGTTGCTTTTAGCCGGCTCAGCGCCGCGCCTGGCCCAAGCACGTGAAATCCCTCGACAAAATCGTATCCCTTCACACTGTAAGTCCCGGTCCGCAATGCCGCTGCTCGTGACGATGCGGCCTTTTCGGATGAAGTGGAAGTAACACTTCGACGCCAGCTGCAGCGCAACATTGGGGAATTCACACGCCTCAGCGCGCCAGTTCCCCTCACGGCGGTCCACATCTGACCCGAAAGCTACCCCCTCCCCCGCTGGAAAAAGACACAAAAAAAATCAGTAATAACGCGATAACAGAAGAAAAAAAGACACATCCCCGTCAATGTGTAAGGGAGGGAAAATCGGAGGGACGCACCCACCACAAGAGCCACCCAATCCATGAGAAAGAACCAACAAACATTGATGTCTCAGCTGTAAATGGTCCCCACCGTTGAACAACAGCAAAGAGAGAAATAAAGGCAAAACAAAACTCACAGTAACGCCATTCAGCACCTGAAATAGTCAAAAGGAATACCCCTCAACTTTCTCGAAAACGCATTCTCCACTGGCCAATATCTTCCGCCGCGGCCACCATCGCCTCTACACGCCGTGCCACTTCATCGTCTCGCTCGCCCAACACTCCAGGAAGTTCAGCAGCCACCACAGCAGTATTGGCGTCTGCAGTGCAATCAGGGCCCTCCGCCTGCTCCGCGGGCAGAGCACTCGCCTTGCCCAGCTTCTCCCTACGCAGACTCTCCAGCAACTTCTGAGAAGCGCTAAGGTGCGTGGAAATTTCCTCTAGTTTTTTCTCAGCCTCAACAAGCGCGTGGCTGGTAAGCGTTCCGAGAGCTTTGAGCTGCCTCACGCAGAGGTCCAACATTCTCGCCTCGTTGGTCTCAGTGCTCTCAGACATCTCAATCTCTGGCGCCAGTTCTGAACGGATGGCGGCTAGTCGTCTTTCACGTGCCTCGCGTGCAGATTTCAATTCCTCTGCCGAATGTGGAGCCCCTCCCGTGCCATCGCCCCTGTCAGCAATGGCCATCTGCTGCGTCACCCCTGCCGGAGGTGACTCGGTCGCCACCCACAGAAAGAGTTTGCTCGTCAGATCACCAAAGGCCGTACCATTAAAGGTGATGGCGGTGCTGATGCTGTTCATGCTGCTGAAAACAACAATAAGACGTTCACCCATGAGATCCCAGCCCTCTATTGTGCCGCATTTTGTTACAAGAAGCCGCAAGAGATCCTCCCGCACCGTTGACGGGCAGCCTTCAATGTAGACGGTGCGGTGCAACTTCCCCACCAGGTCCAGTGGCATCTGCTATATGCTCTTCTTCCTTTCCTTCTTTCCTGTTGGCTCCCACCGCCTCCATCAGAAACATTCACAAGAAGCAAAAATACATATAATAATAATAAACGGGCCATGCAGCCAAACCAAAAATAATAATAATAACAATGCTGATTATCCACAACAGCAACATGTCCCACAACAAATAAATGCACTCAATTGGATTTATTTAAAAAAAGAAGTGGAAAAGATCAACTGAAGATGTATACAAACAGAATTTAAAAAAAAAACCCACAGTACTGAACTTCTTCTCTCAACTTTTTCTCCCGCTTTCCATTTCCTTCCTTTTTGTGGCTTATATATATATATATATACCTCTTCTTGAACGGCTTTGTTTTTTGTTGTTGTTGTCGTTTTTCTTCCTTTTCCCTCAAAACCCCCCTTTACATTTTATGACCCCGCACACCGATGCGCGTCCCTCTCCGCTCAATCTATTGCGTACACCTCCCTTCCACATTTCTAAGTTTCTGTGTGTGTGTGTGTGTGTGTGTGTGTGTGTGTCCCCGGGCCTGGGAACGCTGTTAATGGTTGAATCTATGGTACCGATGGTGCCTCTAGCAGGAAGGGAGGAGCGCGAACACAAAACAAAAAAATGCACAAGGCACAGGGACAGCATCAAATTCTTGCCGTACCCCATTCATGACTTCGCACTAAAAAAAAAAAAAAAAAGGGGGGGAGGGACATTGACAGGTAAACACACACATAAAGAAAAAAAAAAGCATCGGCTACTCGGAGAAAAAAAAAGGAAATGAAATCCCCCTTCCCAACTATAAATTCTCTGCCGCATCAACCGTGCTTGCCGACGCGGCCGTGAGCTGCGAAAGGGACAGAAGACTATCGTCAAAGCGCAGCTGTACAACGCAATTTGCCTCCCTCTCATCAACCTCATTCTCTTCGGCATTGTCATTGGCGTCATTAGGGTAAAGAATAAGCGGTGAGAAGCCCAGAAAATTTCCAATTTGCGTTGTGGCCAGGCCGCTCCTATCACTTGTGCTGTGTGTGTTGCGTGGACGGCTGAGACTCGCCCCTTGGCTTGATGTCGCCACTTCCTCCGAGCCACTCTTTAGCGTTTCGCCGTTGGCAATGGCCCTCCCTGAATAAATCCATTCTCTCTGCGGGGCAGAAGAGATATTAGGGGTGGTCAAGTCAGGTACACTCGTAATACGTTCTGTGGAATGGGAAGA